TCTTGGACCTTTGGTGAAGACTGTGATGACTCGGTGCATTCAATGTACAAGGTCAATATTGGACGGAACTTTCCCCATTTCCCCCCTGCAAATCTGATTGTTGTGAATGCAGATTTTAATAAACATGCTACACGTTGGAAGTCATTTTACGGCTAATTTCTTCTCAAAAATCAAATTCTTTTATTTACACTATATTTATTTGTATAATTAATATTTTTGTAAAAATTAAGAACCCCTTTTGTTGCATAATTTTGTTTAAAAATGTAGTGGTTATGACATTATGATAGTTGTCGAGGAAATTTACAGGTGAAATTAATTTGCATATGAGGAAAGTGATCTTTCCGAGTGGTAATTTAATCTGATTGTTTTGTTACTTGTTGCAATGTCAGCTAAGCACTACCTCTGGTTTATTTTATTTCTGCCTTTGACATTTGGTAGTAATAGGTGTTGGCATTTTTTGAAACCCAACATTTGACATTTGAGAAACATGCCCTCTTTGCTGTCATTTAATGCAATTTTTCTTGTTAAACAATGTTATCTGAGTCCCAGGCTCTCGTGGGATATTTCTTTTTTCCAACAGGTGTGTTAGATTTGCAACAGAGGTTGCTGGGGTTCAGGATCTTGGCATGTTAGGTCGTGGCAGTGGAGAGGAGATTGGAACATATGTTGAAAAACTTTTGACAAGTGAGCTTTCTGGAAATGTCATTGATATCTGTCCGGTGGGAGCTCTCACTTCAAAACCTTTTGCATTTAAAGCCCGAAATTGGGAGTTGAAGGGAACAGAGACCATTGATGTTACTGATGCTGTTGGATCCAATATTCGAATTGATAGTAGAGGACCTGAAGTGATGCGCATTGTTCCTCGTTTAAATGAGGTTAGATTCTCGTGGAAAAGTTTTGTTGAGCTGTTTGTGATTGCTGTGGCTTCAATTTTCTGTGGTTTTTAAAATTATTTAATTTCTGTAAGAAAAACCATTGTCCCATGTTTGCTGCTGCTTAAGAAGCACGTCTCTCTTGTTTTTATGGTATTTTATGTAGAAAAAGAATTGTTGTTCATTAAGTTGATCTAACACTTATTAGGACTTTATGCTTACCAAAACACGATACTGATGAATTTTGAACTTGGATCTATTTTTTCTTTTGGCATTATGGAAGTTACTACTTTTCTGACCTAGTGAGATAAGGCTGTTGCTATTGTTGTATAGCAGTTACTACTCGTGGCATAAGCTAGATGGTTTTCAAACTTTGCTGGCAGCCTCTGAAACACATTACACATGGTTAAATGAACTATATGCAGTACCCAAAAAACTGATGAGTTTTTTTCTCTTAATTTCAATTTGATTATTTTCTGTTAATAGAATTAATTATAAAAATGTGGGTTTGAATATTAAACAAGAAAAGGAAAACCTTCAACAGGGACCAGGTTGGCTCAATAATTATTATGACCTTGGGGGATCAAATAAACCACTCTGAGTAGTTATTCAGGTTATTTATTACTGATTAGTCATACTTTCAAAATAATACATTAGGTTTTTACTCATGATTTTAAGCCTCCCTTTATTGGCAGTTTGCTTTATGATGTTGTTTCATTTAACTAGTATAGTAGCATTATTTTTTTGAGAGGGGGTTGTTGGAAGGAAAGTGGTGTGGTTTTAAGTGTAATTGGGCCATTGACCATGAGTCATAGATTTATGAACTCTTCACTATATTGTTTTTAAAATGTGAGTACATTTTTACGGCAATTGAGATCTTCTCATTTTAATTTTTCATAAGATAGGGCCATGTGGAGAGAGAGAAAGCTGTACATAAAGTTCCACATCCACTGTACAGGGCCCCACAAATTGTGCTATAAATACTTTTATGCCTTTCTCTATTAATATTTCATGTGAAAACCTCACTTAAGAGAATCCAAATTATTTTGAAGTGAATCCACATTGTATGAGCAACTAGTGAGGAGCCCCTTCAAGGAATGATCTTTTTGGACCAAGGGGTTTGATTTATCTTTTTCTGGATTGACTTTATAATGTTTAGTTTGAGCATATTGTTTTATATTTTTATGCTTATAGCATAACTTAGTGCTAGTACTAATAGGAAGGTCTCTCTCTCTCTTTTTGTTTAAAAAAAGAAGAAAGAAACCTTTTCTAGGGAGAGAAGAGGTTGGTTTCTGTCCATAGTTAGCTATTTTTAAAACTCTTTTCTGCTTGTCCATTTCAGGACATAAATGAAGAATGGATTTCGGACAAAACTCGCTTTTGTTATGATGGTTTGAAAAGGCAGAGGCTAAATGACCCCATGATCCGTGGTCCTGATGGACGCTTCAAGCCTGTTAACTGGCGTGATGCCCTTGCTGTGGTAGCAGAGATTGCCCATCAAGTTAAACCAGAAGAAATAGTTGGAATAGCTGGCAAACTTTCTGATGCCGAGTCCATGATTGCTCTAAAAGATTTCTTAAATAGGATGGGGTCAAATGATGTATGGGGAGAAGGCATCAGTGTAAATACTAATGCTGATTTCAGATCTGGATATATTATGAATACTAGCATTGCTGGTCTTGAAAAAGCGGATGTGTTCCTGTTGGTTGGTACCCAGGTATATTACATTATCTCATTTATTTTAATAATCTGTTTTTTAATGTTATAAATGGTCAAATGATTCATGTGTATAAACACTAGAATTTTTTAGTACTTCATCCATGATTATTTAGCAATCTACTAATGTAAATTTAAGCGTACAGTGTTTTCGTTGTTTTTTTAATGGTTTTGTTTTTTCAATTTTTTTTGGCTTGTCACCAAATTAAGATTCTACTTTTTGGCTTTCCCAGAATAGAGTATTTTATTCTGTTGTCACTACCCTAGGATACTTCCATTTCTCTTCATACTCTGACAGCAGCTGAGAGGTTGGTCTGAAGTGTTACAATGATATGCAGTAGTAGATAATGCGTTTTTCCTATCATTAATATTTTTTTTTTGGCAGTATCTTTAGAACTGTGGTTTTGAGACTTTTTGGCCATGGAGGAGGATGTGTAAACTTTTTTTTTTTTTGGTAGTATTTTGTGTTTTAGACTGAGCTCATCTAGTGGTTATCTATACTGCTGGGATCTTATATTCATGCATACTTTTTGTTGCTTGTGGTGTGTATTAAATTATCTTATGTTTTCATTCTCAAATTTGCAGCCACGTGTGGAAGCTGCTATGGTTAATGCCAGAATACGCAAGACTGTCAGAGCAAACCAAGCCAAAGTGGGGTACATTGGACCTGCTACTGATTTCAACTATGATCACAAACATCTTGGTACTGACCCTCAAACACTTCTTGAAATTGCTGAGGGTAGCCACCCATTTTTCAAGACACTCTCAAATGCCAAAAATCCTGTTATCATTGTGGGTGCTGGGGTCTTTGAGAGGAAGGACCAGGATGCAATTTTTGCTGCCGTTGAAACCATTGCACAAAAAGCAAATGTTGTCCGTCCTGACTGGAATGGTCTTAATGTATTGCTTCTCCACGCTGCCCAGGCTGCTGCACTTGACCTTGGACTTGTTCCGCAATCTGAGAAAGCCCTCGAGTCCGCAAAATTTGTATATTTGATGGGTGCTGATGATGTAAACTTAGACAAGGTCCCAGATGATGCTTTTGTTGTTTATCAAGGTCACCATGGTGACAAGAGTGTCTATCGTGCCAATGTTATTTTGCCAGCAGCAGCATTCAGTGAGAAGGAAGGAACATACGAAAATACTGAAGGATGTGCGCAACAAACATTGCCTGCAGTTCCAACAGTTGGTGACTCCAGAGATGATTGGAAAATAATTCGAGCTCTGTCTGAGGTGGCAGGAGTGCGATTGCCCTATGACACAGTTGGAGCTGTTCGGGCCCGAATCAGGATTGTAGCTCCAAACCTTGTGAACATGGATGAGAGAGAGCCAGCCACATTGCCATCTTCACTGAGACCAACCTTCTCTGAGAAGGTAGACCCAACTCCATTCGGGACTGTCATTGAGAATTTCTATATGACTGACGCCATTACCAGGGCATCAAAGATAATGGCACAATGCAGTGCTATGCTGTTGAAGAAGTGAAAGATGGATTTTTTATTTTTTGGTTTCAATAATGAAGATTCACGTTTTTCACTTCCTGGCCATGCAAGACTTTGCTAGCCCAAAACTTATTGGATGTTGGAAGTATCCAATAAATTAATTAAAACTAGGCTTTATCTGTTCCATTTGTAATATGCGGTGTGAAAGCACCACTTTTTAGAACTGTTGCCGTGTACAATTTGGGTTATCCGACTGATTGTGAAGGTTTTACTCATTGTCTGATCAATTTTTCCATAGTCAGGAAAGTGCAGAGTTGAACTCTTATTGCAAAATATTTACAGTGCAGAGTTGAACTCTTGTTGCAAATTATTTACTTTTCCTTTATACAAAGTTGAGAAGTTTAAGCCGAAGGTAAATTGAACGTGCTAAATCACCCAAGGGGGAAATTGTAGCAGAAAGATTGAAATGGCAAATTGAAAAACGAGTTAAGTTTTTAAATCCAATAGTCCAAGGTTACATTTGAAATTTGGTAGAAATATTGACAGAGTTCTAACTAAATCAAAGTGAAGAGGCTGCAGCGAAATTGGGGAAAGATAAACTCGGATGAAAAAAAATGCCACTTTATGCTTGATTTATGGTTTTCATCTTATTTATCATGCGTAAAATCATTTTGAGGTCGTGTTGGAATACTACGTTCCACTAACATCATTAGGGATACTATTAGTGGCCGACAATAAAGTGTAGCTCTATATTCTCAATGTCTCGCGGTTTTATTCAACAGCAATTCTATGTTTCTTTTGTTCATGAATCCGTTTGTATTTGTATGACACAAAGGTGAATCGGGTGATTATGCTCGGTAAATATACCGGTCGTAAAACATCAATTTGAGGAATTGTCTCTCTTTTCAAGTTTCCTGACAGACCATGCGTTTTGAAAGCATCAACATTCCTAAAAAAAAGAGTACTTCAATCAAACAAATAACTCGGCCTTGAACATTTTTATTATTGTATCATGTCAGGTTTATTTTTCCAGAGCATTTGCAGTAGCAACACAATGTATCTAGGGAATGAAAACTTAATGCAGGACTGCTAGTGATCACTTTTTTCTGCTCCCTGATGTTATGAGTTACTTTTGCACCTTCGAATATGAAGAGATGCCAGTCTGATTATAAGAACTTTCCCAATTCTTCCCATCAAAATTCCTGATTTCAACGTGTGTCAACGTTCCAGGGTCAACACACCTAAATGCAACTGCAACCCCATCTGGGTTTGAGCGTGGATAATAGAACGAGGTTATACCACAGATTTTACAGAATGTGTGCTTTGCAGTATGAGAGCCAAAAGTGTACGTACTAAGAAACTTCCCAGAATCTCCCAAAAGCTCGAAATTGTCAGCAGGCACAATGAAGTGGTTATTGGCTCTCATGGAGCAGTTTGAGCAGTTGCAGTCCCATGCCACAACACTAGAAGGAGCAACCGCTTTCCACCTTACACTCTTACAATGGCAACCTCCAGTATGCACCACTTTTTCAGCATCCATTTCAGGACCGGTAATCACAAACCAAATCTTGGCTTCTTCTGGAGTCACAAGCACCTGCCAACTATAGTTTGTCATGCACAAAGACTCGGTCAAAGGAGACTGAAATTGCTATCATAAATTAAAATTAAGCGGTGGCACTAAAACAGCCTTTTGATACAAATTCAGTAGCAAATAGATTCTGCTCGAACATAATTTTTTATAGATACTGAACATCGGCAAAGAGGTAATTATGAGTTCATGACAAATACTCCTAATCAAAGTGGCTCAATCAGGTTTCAACTTTCAAGATCAGGACCAAATGAAGGAAGAGACTATAGAGTATGCACAAAAAAAATCTACTTACAATCAGATAAATGTTCAACTTATTATTAGTAATCATCCTTATATGACCTAACAGCTGGGACTATGCACAGCAATATGACATGAATTCCTCCTGGCTTCATAAGTATCCTACTCAGAAAGCTTTAAGACACAATTGAAATACATAATCATAGCCATGGGATGCACTTTGAGTGTGTCCACTGAGACAACTATATTGCACTTAGTCAACAATAATTTTGCCTCAAACTACAATAACTCAGCAATCAACATTCTTCACCCTCTGCTCTTATCCGTTCCAAATTTAGATTCAGATAAACATCATCCATTTTAAAGGAAGAACTTCCCATAAACGCGGTCGCATCTTGAAATTGTTTACAAGAAACTTATGAAAATTTCAACACTACCCACTAACTCTAGGAAATAAATAAGCATTGAAAAAGCTTGGTTGCTTTAAACATCAAACAAAAAAGAAAACACTCATAGAAGTGGTACAACTAAGTTTGCTAAGTTATAGCTCAACAAAGAGACAATCATTAACAAGTAGACTAGAAACCTAATGAAGAAAGGGAATTAAATGAAAGATTCTTAACAAGTTTTTCATTTGATCGGGTCAGATGGGCAGTTTGATATGCTCACCTTGTTTGCAGCACCTTTGACAGCTTTAGATTAGAATAAGATGATGAGGACAAATTTGCATTTTCATTTTTATACTCACAAAAATGGACACTCACATTTATAACTCTAAAATATTTTTGTCTAATATGCTAAGTTAATACACCGACCTAATGAGGATTTTAGAGCGTCTTAGAGTCATAGTAATATGTTATATTTTGATTAATTCTTTGACTTATTTATTTTTCCTTTTGCTTATAAGTTGTTCATGATAATTTACTAAAAACTATGACGGGCTTTATTAAGGAATGAATTTGAACTTGCAAAACATTTATAAAATAGCTCACAATTCGTTAAAAATTTGTAGCAACCTCGGTCGCGACGGGACGGCGAAAAATAGCAAGCATAGGCACACCACACCCTTGTTTCAATCAAAGCTAAGTCTAACACACACCATCATCTTGTCATTCAGCTTCTTCCTCTCCAACACTAACTTCTTCCAAATCGCAGTGATTTCCCTCTGTGTCTCTAGAGCACTCTTCTTGGCAACCACCACCTTGCCATTTTGTTCTGTATTGACTGTGACAGAGGTGCTACTTATCACCCTTGCTGGAAGTGAATCAAGCTCATGCAGCACCTTCTCCACATCAGCCACAAGACGCTCTGCGAGGGTTCTTGAGAAGTCCTCCCTGATGACAACACGTAGCACGGTGACATGTTGAGCATCTGGGGGCATGGTGTATGCTGGCACTATCCACCCAAAGCGCCTCAGCAGATCAGAGATTTGGAACTCATCAAAGTGGGTGTGGTCTTTCAATGTGAAAGCCACCAAAGGCACACCATTCTCTTTCGACACAATGTCAAACCGCCCTGTTTTCTCGAGTCCCTCTTTCAGCACTATCATGTTGTCTCTACAATTTTCCATCACGTTTCTATATCCCTGCAATCCCATTTAATGAAAATAAATCTCAACACATCATCATCGAGTTATAACAAGCACTATGAATCTGTTGGTTGGTCTTATTACCTCATAGCCAAGGCGAACTAGTTGGTAGTATTGAGCAATGACTTGGCTAGACCCTGCAATGTATATCTTGTAAAACAGTGAGTAACTCGTGCATACATTAGTGAATGGAAGTGGTAGAAAGTGCAAGTAAATTGGGCTATTTCATTAGTAGTACTTGGAACTGAGTAATTCAATCATGTGTTACCTTTAGAGAAGTTAAGGGTAAAGGTGGGTTGATCAGCACCGAGATAGTTGATATGGAAGATAAGTTCCTCAGGCAAGTCTTCCTTGCTTCTCCAAATAACCCAACCGATTCCAGCATAGACCAGACCATACTTGTGCCCACTAACATTGATGCTCTTCACCAGCGGTAACCGAAAGTCCCACTCAAGCTCTGGATAAATAAATGGTGCAATGAACCCACCACTAGCTGCATCCACATGAATAGGAGTCTTCCATCTACCAAAGAATTTCACATGTCAACGCATACGGCCTCAAAAGTCTAAAATATTTGGTGTACAAAGTATGGAGTATTTAAGAGGAGGGAGGGGAAGAGAAAGAGAGAGATACCCAGTTTGCTTATTCTTTTCAACCAGGAGATCATTCAAGCGTTTGACATCTTCAAACTCTCCATTTAGCGTAGAACCAAGGATAGCAGCAACACAAATAGTGTTCTCATCCACCAATTCCACGGCCTTTTCAGGGTCCATCACATAGTATCCATCACGCAAATTAACTTCCTTTAACTCCACCTCAAAGTACCTGGCAAATTTCTCCCAGCAAACCTGTTTTAGAGAATCAATTCCACAACATCAAACAATGCCAGAGAAACTTAGTGATATATTATTTTTTATTTATTTATTTATTTATTTGCATAGATCACATGTATTCAAATAGTCCTGGTCAAACCAGATAGAATCATTATAATTATGCAGTAAGATTCTCTCTTAAAATATTTAATACTATTACAAACTCAAAACTCAAAATTGTGACTACTAATTAAATTACAATAATTTCATACAAGTTGATCCACCTAATCGGTTGTGAAAAACATAGTGATATGCTATAGAACAATAAACATGTTTTAAAGTGTACCTGAACGTTGGCTCCAGTGACAATGTTGGGTTTGTCATAAGGCTTTCCCTCTTCTTTCCTTCTGTTCTGCCACTTCCTTTTGAATGCCAATCCAGCCAACATTATGGCCTCAGATGAACCAACTGTGCCAACACCAACTGCAGCCTCAGACTCTCCTAATGGTGCATTGAAAAGATGAGCTATCATATTTACACACCGATTCTGCATACAAGTAAGAAATGGTACGTCAATAAAATGATCATTTGCTTAACACCCTTAAACTAGAGCAAGCATGCCACATTATACCATGCTAGTGTTTGAAAATATACAAGCACCTAGTGATTCTTA